GTAATTTTAATTTCACAGGTGTATTTGTGTATGACAAGACTTTCTCTAGGATACCAACAATTTTGACCTTGACCTTGGAGTTTGAACTATTAAAAAAAAAACCTTTAATTTAACCTTGGCCATAACTTTTGACATTTGATGCTAAGGCTTTTATATTTCACATGTATATTTCATGTGACGGGTCCTTTCCCTGGGTATCATTGATTTTGACCCTTTGAGTTTGACCCACTTTTTAAAAACTATAACCTTGGCCATATATAACTTTTGAACGGTTGGTTCTTGGGCTTTCATATTTCACAGGTATTTTCATTGATACGGGTCCTTTTTTGGAAAACAACATTTTTGATCTCTTGACCTTGAGCTTAGAGTTTAACTTGCACTTTAGAAACTTTACCCTTCACAAAAGACTGCCGTGCGGGAGCATCAGTGTTTCACAAACGCATTTTGTTTTTTATTACGACTCACTTTACCTAATGTGTTTACGTTAAAGCGTTTGAACTTTTTTTTAACTATTAATCTAAAACAATTCCAGTATTTAATGTGAGTATGTAACCCTGTCTTTGACACATAATCTTTCAATTTTAGCCTTAAAAATATATTATTATCAATTGCTTTAGACATATATCTTATCGCATTTCAACAATAACAAACAATGCAAAATAATACACAATGGCATTGTATGGTAGTTTTTATAGATGACTCAACCGTAATATATAATTATATCATGGAGAATTACCATATCATATAAGAAAAAAACTTTTTCTCAACTTAAGGGCATAATGGATATATGTCCCAAAATTACAGAGATCATGGACCTTGTGAGCACTTAATAATTGTACAAATTTGAAAAAAAGACGACTTCTGTCAGTAATACTTCTCGACATATTTTTATAGAAGCTTTTCAAAATGCAGGCAATTTAAAACAAAATGGTATTCATCCTCTACTTCACCACTGCCCCCTCCCAGTTAAAGTTTTCGTTCGTACGTTATAACAACTCTCATTTCATCTTCAACATCCCCCCCCCCTGAATTATTTTTAGATCCACGCATGTTCACTTGAACACATTCTACACATTCCACTCTCCTTAAGTATTTTATTATGACGTCCTGTCTCATTTTCAAGATTACAAGATGAAAGCCTAATTCGTCTAACTTAAATGGAGCTGTGCAGTTTTAAACTAACGAAAATTACACGCCGCATTTTAGTTTCACGGGGGGAGGGGGATATTTTCCATTTTCCACTGCATTCTATAGCGGAAAACATGTTCCAACAGAATTACAGAATAATCTCTTCTTCTTCCCAAATAATTATTGTTTTGAAACTTCGTTTATTTATATAATATATCATTCAGATATGCCTTTTGAAAACTGAGTTCTGAATACATGGTATATAAATCTCGGCGTTCGACATTTTAGCGGGGAAAAATGGACGTTTTAGTGAAAAATGTGACATTTAAGCGGAAATCAAAATACATACTTACATTCAACAAATTGTTAAGTAAATTATAATTATATCTATGCCTCTTCCGTTAGCCAGTCGGGCTAAGTTTTCTGCCCCCTGTTGGGGGGGGGGGGGGGGGGTAGGATTTTGCGCAGGCTCAACAATACTATTAATTTCTCAGGATTGTAAAATACAAATCTGTATCTGTATTACATTTCCTCTTCAGAGTTATTATTACAAATGCTGATAAGTGCACTTACCTGTATAAATAAAAATGAGCTGAGTTTTATTCAATAGTTTTTAGCCGTGACCTTGAAACCTTTGCTAGAATCGGGATCTTAGAAATTTTAAAGTTCGTCATATTTTGCTGGCATTACATTGACTGTTTAAAAAATAAATTTTATCCGAGAAAAAAAAAATCCACAAAATTTTTTACTGAATTATTACAGGAAATTGCTTTTCTTCATATTAAATACTTTATAAATTTTCCGCTGAAATTAATGTTTATTCACACCTTTGCAAGTCCGTCGCCCACACATCTCCTATTATGTTCATTCACGTAATGTGATTTAATTATATAGTTGGCTTTACAAAAACGCAATGGGTGTTTGAAAAAATATATATAAAGATATCAAAATATTATCCAGTAATTTTTTTAATCGTAAATATAATTCATCTACATGTATTTGCATTACCAGCTGATCGGGGTGCCCTTTGCCTAAAACTCATTTAAAATTGCGGAAGTGACATACAGCGATTCGCATGAATGCACATTGTATCGATAGAAGGGAGTCATAAAACAACATGAAGGGGTATATCAATGTAAACAAGTTTCACACCTTCGCGTTCTTTTGTTTACAAAGAAACAACATAATTACGTATAATTCCATGGATTATAGTATTGGTACATGTATTAAGACCGTATATTGGGACTTCTTCTAAATCGATATACGTGTAAATCCTGCTGCATCGTATAACCCGTTAAGAGAAAGAAAAAAATCCAAATTATTTGTAAATATTAATTATAAATAAAGTTTTTAAAAGGGTGCTTGGATGCCCGGAACGTTTATTATGGCCGGAACCAAACTTACGCGGGCCGGAACGTTTATTATAGCCCGGAACCAATATTATAGGTATTTAGCGTTCCGGCCGGAACGCTAAGTTACCCGGAACGTAAATTATGCGACACCGGACAGCAGTTTGTTCAACTCCTCGTCGTTGCGGATGGCCAGCTGCAGATGACGGGGGATGATTCTGGTCTTCTTGTTGTCGCGGGCGGCGTTGCCTGCCAACTCCAAGACTTCGGCGGCCAAGTATTCAAGAACGGCGGCCAGGTACACGGGGGCACCGGCTCCCACTCTCTCGGCGTAGTTGCCCTTCCTCAGCAGACGGTGGATGCGACCCACGGGGAACTGAAGTCCGGCACGGGATGATCGGCTCTTGGCCTTTCCCTTCACCTTGCCTCCTTTACCACGTCCTGACATCTTTGATCTGTTACGAGTAGTTGACGCTCAAGGAATGAAATCAACGAATAACTCAAACTCAGGCTTCGCGACCCTATTTAAACACGCAGGCGGATTGAACCGTGCAGCCAATCGGCACGATCGTATTTTACACACTTTGTCGCTCGCCGAACAACACTAGTTTTCTCGAGGGTTCGTAATGTACTGATCGGCCGTTATCCGTCCGTTCGATATAAAAGCAGCGAGGCGCGAATCGACACTCATAGTTTTCAGTTTGTATACAACCTGTAAACATGCCACCCAAAGTCGGATCTAAAGGAGCTAAGAAAGCAGCCACTAAGGCCAAGGCCCAGAGAACTGGGGACAAGAAAAAGCGCAGGAAGAGGAGGGAATCCTATGCCATTTACATCTACAAGGTCCTGAAACAGGTTCACCCAGATACTGGTGTTTCCAGCAAGGCCATGAGCATCATGAACTCTTTCGTCAACGACATCTTTGAGAGAATCGCTGCCGAGGCCTCCCGTCTCGCTCACTACAACAAGCGATCAACCATCACCAGCAGAGAGATCCAGACTGCTGTCCGTCTCCTTCTGCCCGGTGAGTTGGCCAAACACGCCGTCTCTGAGGGAACCAAGGCTGTCACCAAGTACACCAGCAGCAAGTAAACTGCAAACTTGCACTTCAGAAAAACAAAACGGCCCTTTTCAGGGCCACACAAATTTTTCGAAAAGATACTTTCAATACAGCGTTAAGAAACGTGTGTATATCAGGTTTTGTCGTAACAAGGTGTTTACCTTATTTATTTTTATTTCTTAGCATTATCTGTTCTTGTCTGTAGACACTGTTCTTGCTAATTAATAATTTTGAATGTTGGTCTATGCCTGAAAATAAAAAAAAAAAAAAAAAAAAAACCTCTGAAAAATACATGAACACGCGCCCCCTCATAGTGTACATTAAATATTTACAGACAGGGAATTTAAGAAAAAAAAAAGTGCCCCAAAGAATAATTTATAACACAACAGTTACAGACGAAAACAAATTTTAGCTACACATAGGCATGTTATACAATGTGAGCCTTAAAGTAATTTAACAACAGAGCAGTTCACTTTTTTTTCCCCTCTCTCTCAAGCACATGGAAGACAGCCAGAATGAATAATTTATATCATAAAGATTAAAAAAAAAATGTAGGTTAAAAACAGAGCACAAGCAAATTATAAATATTACGGTATGCATTGTTTATAATTATATTGGATCATTATACATTAGAAATCATTAAGAGAAAGAATATGCCTAGTAAGATACCAGTTCAAGTACTGAAACACTGAATGTCTGTATCTTAGAGGCTTGTAATGAAGATGTCGTTAAGAAAGAATATGAACGAATTCCTTATGATACAGAAATAATATATTTTGCCTGGGTCTATCTTATTCAACTGAAATTTGAATTCTCTTTGTTATTTCTTTTAAATTAAATGAAAATTCCTCCTATTCTCATGAACTATGACAGACGAGGAATAATGTACTATACCTCAATACATAGAAAATATATACCCTAGACAGTTTGTCAGTGTCTGTCTGGAGGATATGAACTGATACTTTTCACCCTGGCAGGTATATATAATTTTATTTGTATGAAATATGCCCTGGTGAAAGGTATGTCATACCTTCATGAACTTTCAAAAACATTTCTTAAGTAACCTAGATATTATAATTCAGTATATCAAAGGATGTGTGATGCACTGAGGCACAAAGATAATGGTAGATAAACTATAATCACCCAGAAATTGTAATTACATCTTATTGAACATTTTGCGTTGTGATCAACATGTGTACAACATGTATAGAAAACTAGCACAGATTTAATATCTACTGGAAAAATATTATAGCTCATTACAGGTTATCTTCATGAAAAAACTGTAGAGTAAATATCCAAGCTTGTTTTACATTTGCAAAATTTTGAGAAGTATTCGTGTCAATTTTTGAATACATATATAATTACCAAAAACATTCTAAATGGAGTTTTGAAATTATTATCATTATTATTATGTAGAAAATTTACTTTTAAAAAGAAAATTTAAATAATATTTTCAGTGTTGAAAGTGCTATGTCTGGCATTGAGGAAATTGCAGAACCTACAGATCCAAGGACTAAGAGCTTTAAGCCATTTTCAGACAGTTTTGTGGATCCTTTTAGGTTTGACAACATTGCTCTTTTGTCACACATATTAAAAATGTTTCTTTCTAAGGCCAATAAAAATTAATTTGTTTGATGTACTCCGACTGACCTGTCAAAATTGCCCTTACCCTATCTTTTCCCCAGTACTTTAAATTTTAAATGTTTTTTTTTTTTTTTTTGGGGGGGGGGGGGGTCAAGGGAAATAGACATTGTTTCATTTTAAAGGTTTATAATTCTCTAAGATACTTTTTAGCTCACCTGAGCTTTTCTGATCGAAATTTGTCCATTGTCTGTTGTTGTTGGCGTTGGTATCGTAAACTTTTCACATGTTTATCTTCTTCTCAAGAACCAGTGGGCCAATTTCAACCAAACTTGCCACAAAGTATCCTTGGGTAAAGGGGATTCAAATTAAGGTCCACCCCCTTTTCCAAGGGGAGATAATTATGAATTCGTGAAAAATTAATGGCATCATTTAAAATTCTTCTTCTCAAGAACCACTGTGCTTGAAAACATGAAACTTAAATGGAAGCATCCTCAGATAGTGTAGATTCAAGTTTGTTCAAATCATGACCCCCGGGGGTAGGGTGGGGCAACAATGGGTAGTCAAAGTTTTACATAAGAATATATTGGGAAAATCTCTAAAAATCTTCTTCTCAAGAACAGCAAAACCATGATTGATCATAATTATATGGAAGCATCCTTAGGTAGTGTAGATTCAAGTTTGTTCAAATTATGACCCCCAGGAAAATACAGGGGCATATTTGTCATATTAATTCATAAGCATCCATATGAAGTACATCCCCCCCCCCCCCCCGAACCACTTTTATATTTAAACTTTTCAGGACTGAATTGATTTCTGCTGTTTCCTAGCCAGAGTGCTCAGGTGAGCGATGTGGCCCCAGTGCCTCTTGTTTGAAATAACATTTTTATAGCAATAAATATTAAATCTGTCTTATCCGGTGTATCATGAAAGCATCAATAAATCTTAAGTTTATGCTTTTTATGACAGTAATTGATGTTAGCTATAGATACTGCAAAAAAAAAACAAACAAACAAACAAACAAACAAAACACCTACCTACATTCCCACCTTGAAAAATGTAAGTCGGAGTACATAAAAAAATATATTATTATTATTAGTGATGGCCTAAATACGTCATGTATTATTTTAGCATGAATGATTTTGATATATGCATTTTTATTAGATTGACAATGAGTGCCTCTGAACTGACATGCGAAGAAAATGACTCTTCTGATGATGAAGAATATGAGCCAAGTTTCCACCTGTCTTTAAAGTAATTTTTATTAGAATTATTATTTACTTAGTAATATAAAATTAAATTAAAAGAGGTTAAATATGTTTAATCATTGTAAATATTTCAGATAGCATGAAACATACTAATGGGAAAAATTATTGGTAATTGGTTCATTAAACTGTAATAACATAAATTTTATAATTTTGTTATGTTTTTTTATTCTCTCTATAGACTTGACCATGGTGTGACGCTAGATGAGTCGGATTCAGAAGAGATTGAGGACGATGAAGAAAAATTTGTAGAACATGCTGAGTATAGTTGTCTACCAGTTATACGCAACAATGATGAAATTGAACAACTGGTCCATGATTGTCCAGCCATGGTTTACATTAATCAGCTGATTACCTTGGCAGAAACAGGAGTCCCTAAGATTTGTAGGGTGAAAGGATGTGAAGCTCAAGTTCACATTTCATCAGAAGTAGTGTCTTCAGCTGTGTACCTGAGATGGGTAATGAACTTCAGTATAATTTTAAAAGAATCATATATAATACATATTGTGACAAGGCATCATTCACCTTTCTTTTTGAAATACAAAGGCACTTTTTAAATTTCTGTTCCAGGTCTGCACAAACAATCATGAGGCACACAAATGGTGTTCGCAACCTCTTCTTAATAGACGGGTTCACAGTGGGGATGTTTTAATCTCAGCAGCTTTACTGGCGTCAGGAAATAATTTTCAAAAGATTTCCCTGTTTTTTAAGTTCCTGAAGCTCCCCATTCTGTCTGTCTCATCATTTATAAAGATACAAAGAACCTATGTCACTCCAACAATTGAAGAAATTTGGAAAAAGCATCAGAATGATATTCTAGAAGAATTCAGAGGAAAAGATGTTGTTGTTCTTGGTGAGT